ACAGCCTGTGGAACTGTGAGACAGTTAAACCTGTTTTCTTCATAAATTACCCAGTCTCCGGTAGTTCTTGATAGCAAGTTGAGAATGGACTAATACAGCAGGTATTATAATACTCTATGACAGTAGAAGCATTTGCCAAAACTTCCTAACTTGATATAAAAGGTTGTATCAAAGTTTTTTTTTTTTTTTTAGCCTAATCTCGTAGACAAAGGTAACATACCTTACTGATTTTTTACTTATTTTATATTTTAAGATAGGATCTTGCTCTGTTGCCCAGGCTGGAGTACAGTGGCACAATCATGGCTCACTGAAGGCTTGACTTCCCAGGCTTAAGCGATTCTCCCACCTTAGCATCCTGAGTAGATAGGACTAGGCATATACCACTATGCCTGGCTAATGGGGTATGTGGTATAGGATGGTCTCAAATTCCTGAGCTCAAGTAGTCCTCCCGTCTTGGCCTCCCATAGTGCTGGTATTATAGGTGTGAGCTATCACAACTGGTGGGTATCAAAGTTCTTAAGGACCAACCTCCTGATAGTGTAGAATATCTTCTAAATGCTCTCTAGTACACAATAAAACATTTGAATGGTGAGACTACAAGCAAATTAAATCCATGCTGCAATAACAGTTCTGGAATAAGCACCTGTTGTAGACAGAAGACAGTGTTCTGCACTGACTGAGAATATAGTTTTTTAGTGATTGCAATTACCATGTCATTTTTCTTGCTTTTATGTCTTCCCCTGTTCCTCTTCCCTCCTTTAAGATCGTGTTCATATTCTTAAGACTTCTTTTCTATGTCTGTATGAGTAAAGTTATACTCTAAAGAGATATGGTCCTTTCAAACAGGTCACCTACAGTGGCTAATTATGCATTGGGGTCTCTACTGAAAAAAATTCTGTGACTTTTAACTAAACATTTTCAGATGTGAATTTTGGGGAAACAAACATTTAATACTGCTTCTCCTACATGGCAAAACTGCCTATTCTGCTATTTGAAAACCCCCAAATACTTTCTTTTCTACTATCACTTTTTCCATGTGCTGCCAAAATGAAAATATTTAAATTAAATGTATTGTACAAATGGTAGCCAACACAAGCTTTTTGTTTTTTAATTAGTAAGACTTTTGTTTAAAGTTTTAATTTTGCATTTTCACTTTTTTTGTAAGGGTATATGTTATGTGTTCAACCTTTGTTAACATTAAAAATTGTGATGTGTGCATAGAATATTACTTTCTAGGGATAAATCTCCCATTTCCTGAATCTTATGTCTTTTTCTTTCTTGGTTTACTCCCTCATCTTGATAAAATACACCTTTGAGTAGCTTCCTTAAGGAAGGGTGTATGGGAGGTAAAATTTTTGAATTGTCTGAAAAGCTTATCTTTTTAATTATTATTTTTTAAGGATCAGTATGATAGTATGAAAAGCTTATCTTTTAAAGTCATGCATGATTTATAATTTGATTGGTTAGAGAATTCTGGGTTCAGAATTCAGAATTTTGTATTCATTGTTTTATATTCCTCTGGCATCCAGGATTGCTATTGAAAAGCATGATGCCATTGATGATCTTCATCTAATATATGTAATCATTTTTACTTTTCTTTTTTTTGTTGTTTTGTTTTGAGATAGTTTCATCCTGCCTCCCTGGCTGGAGAGCAGTGGCAATGATGTTGGCTCACTGCTGCAACCTCTGCCTGCCGGGCTTAAGCACTTCTTGTGCCTCAGTCCCCCCAGTAGCTGGGACTACAGGTGTGTGCCACCATTTCTGGCTAATTTTTGTGTTTTTAGTAGAGACAGAGTTTTGCCATGTTGGCCAGGCTGGTCTTGAACTTCTGGCCTCAAGTGATCCATCCGACTTGGCCTCCCAAAGTGCTGGGATTATAGGTGTGAGCCCTCGCCCCCAGCCATTTTTTTTTCTTTTTCTTCTTTCTCTCTGTCTCTGAATGGTTTTAGGGTCCTCTCTCTATCTCTGGTGCTTTAAAATTTTACAGTGATGTGGCTTGAATGATGTACCTTCATTCATTTTTCTGGGCATTGAGTTGATGCTTTTATCTGGAAACTCATACTTCTTTCATCCTGAGAACTTTTATTGCTTTATTTCTTAGATAATTTTGTCCCCTCCTATTTTGTCTTTCTCTTGTTCTAGAATCCCTCTGATAGATATTGGACATTTTGAAATAATGCTGTAATTTTTAAGAATCTTTTCTCATAGTTAAGAGAAGACTTAAATGCATATGATAGAAAACCCAAAATAATATACAGGTTTAAAGTGGAGGGGTGTCTGGTAATGGCAGCTGTAGAGTTAACAGGCCTAGGACATCTTTTTCTTTCTTTTTTTTTTTTTAACTCTGTTATTTTATTTATTATTTATTTATTTATTTATTTTTTTATTTATTGAGATGGAGTCTTGTTCTGTCACCCAGGCTGGAGTGCAGTGATGTGATCTCTGCTCATTGCAACCTCCGCCTCCTGGGTTCAAACAATTCTCCCTGCCTCAGCCTCCCAAGTAGCTGGGATTACAGGCACCCACCACTATGCCCAGCTAATTTTTGTATTTTTAGTAGAGATGGAGTTTCACCATGTTGGCCAGGCTGGTCTCCAATTCCTGACCTCGGGTGATCCGCCTGCTTCAGCCTCCCAAAGTTCTGGGATTACAGGTATGAGCCACCATGCCCAGCCTACTCTGTTATTCTTTGTACATATGTGGCATCTTTTCTGAAGTTTGCCTCATGGCCCTGAATAGCTAATGGAGTTTCAGCCCTCATGTCCACATTCTGGGAAGCAAGAAAAAAGAAAAGTTGAAGGTCAAAAGAGAGTACTCTATTTCCTAACTCTCTGTTCTTCTCCTTCTCCTCCCCCTCCTCCTCCTCATCATCATGAGCTGTGATCATGTCACTGCACTCCAGCCTGGGTAACAGACACCCTGTTTAAATAACAGAATATACTAATATATCTATATACCCAGACTATTGTGCTCAATGGCATCGGTTTTTATGATGGCTAACTCAAGCTGAGATCATAGAACGTTTGCTAACAGGAACAGATTTTTACCTTTTGTTTTAAATACTAGTGACCTATTTGTAAAATTTTTCTTAGAATACATATCTGTATTTCCTTATATGTACGCAAAAGCAAACTCTGGACAAGAAACTAGCAACAGTGATTTAGTCTGGAGGGAGGATTAGGACAGGTTCTTGTTAGCTATTGATATGTTGAAAGATATTTTTCTTTGTGATAAGTTAATATACAGTTTTTCCCCCAAGGAACATATGCAGGATAAACATATAATCAAAGCTGTAGAACAGCAGCAGCAAGAGGAAGAAGATGAAAAGATTAGAAAATTTATCAAAGCAAAAAAGCGTCTTATACAAATGAGAAAAGAAAAAGAAGCTGAAACACACAGGTAAGCTTTAATAATGTTTGTAATAAAGTACTATGATTTTATGATTATTATGAGAGTAGTCTTTAAGAACAGAGATCTTATTTTATATATGACTAGACCATTCAGTGACTTGATTTCCGTTTGGGACGTGGGTGTGAGGACTATCTATCATCTTGTAGATAGTCAGAAACGCTGATCTGCTGTCCCAGAGGAATATGAGCTGAAGATGGCTTTGTGAGCCATTGCTATGTAAGTGGTAGTTGGAGTTATGGATACAGATGAGCTCACCTAGGGTGAGTAGTAAGAAATGAAGGTGGCATGGTCCCTAGAGAACTCCATTGAAAAGTCAAATGGAAAAATAAGATAATGTGAAAACCAAAGAAGAGTTTCCAGAGATTGGAGGAAAACCAGGGAAACATCAGAGAGAAGTCTCAGTAAGAAGGGAGCAGTCATCAGTGTTAGGTCAGTAATGGGATTAAGTACAATTTTGAAAATGAAGTATTCATCAGATTTAGAGGACATTGCTTATATTAGTGAGCAGTTTGGTATGGGGTGTCGAGATAAAAGTAGGAGGCCAGATTGCACTACAGGGTGTTTCTCTCTAAATCATGCTTCCCCTTGTGCAAAATCCTCTGAGGGCTTTACATCTCAGAGTCTCTACAATGGCCCAGAAGGCTCTCCACCTACCCAAGTTTCCATCTTCCCAGTTCATCCCTCCAGCATTATCCCTCAGACCTCTTCTCTTACTATTCTCTCCTCTCCCTCTTCTCACTTGCACTGGACTTGCCTCTGCCTGCTCTAGGGAATGCTCACCTACAGAGAGCACATAACTTGCTTTATTAACTCTTTCAGATCTGTACTTAAATTTTACCTTCTCATTGAAGCTTTCTCCGACTACCTTATCTAAAATTATACCCCCTCCCCAATTGCTTATCACTTTACCTGTGTTCCCTGCACTCGTTGCTTGATATGTATTTTTTAAATTACTTATTTTGTTTAGTGTCCCTCTCCTCCAGCAATCATGAAAGCTCCATTAGGGCAGAGATTCTTATTTTTATTAAAACATTTTTCTTTAGAGCTGAGGTCTTGCTATGTTGCCCAGGCTGGAGGACAATGACTCTTTACAGATGTGATCACAGTGCCCTGTAGCCTAAACCTCATAGCTTCAAGGGATCCTTCTGTCTTAGCCTCTTGAGTAGCTGGAACTATAGTACGCACCACCATACCCAACTTCTAATGTTTTTGTTCACTGGTATATCCGTCCCCAGCAACTGGAATAGTGTCACGCACATAGTAAGCAATCAATGCAACTGTTTAAAATAATTTTTTTTTTCAATTCTGAAATGTCACCTTTTCTTTGAAGGCTTTTTTTTTCCTTTGTCCATATCATTTTCTAGCTTTCTCATGGTTACTACCCTTTGCCTTGTATAACTATAAATATATTTGCATAAATGTCTTTTCTCCAGTTTAAGTTGTCATTTTCTTGGAGTATGCACTGTATCCTTTCTCATTATTTCTCACATGCTGCTTTGCAAATTCACTCAATAAGTGAATTTGTCACAACAAAATTTTTTATACAATTGCATAAAAATGCCGTTTAACAAAATGTATTTATTTAATTTAAAAATATGGAACGCTTCACAAATTTGCCTGTCATCTTTCACAAATTTGCCTGTCATGCTAATCTTCTCTGTATCGCTCCAGTTTTAGTATATGTGCTGCCAAAGCGAGCACCAAAATGTATTTATTCTTATGATATGCCAGGCACATGCTTGGCTCTTAACTAGAAAGAGGACCCATTCCATTTCTGACCTGAGGAATCTCATGGTGAATTTGAGAGGCTAAAGCAGGAGGATTACTTGAGGCCAGGAGTTTGAAACCAGTCTGGCCAGCATAGCAAGATCCTGTCTTTTTTTTTTTTTTTTTTTTTTTAAAGGAAACTTATAGTGTAAAGGGAGAGAGAAATTTAAACAGAGCAAGTCAAAGAAGTGCTATGAATAAATTCCACACAGGTATTGAGGTGATGGATATTTAGGATTTCGATAACTTTTATTAGGTTATTTTCTAGATTTTATTTAAATGAAAGCCTTTTATAGCCCCAGCCTCCAGTGATAGAGTAAGCAGGGTAGTCTGATAAAGTACTGAAATATTTTCTGTAGCCAGGTGCAGTGGCTCATGCCTGTAATCCCAGCACTTTGGGAGCCGAGACAGGTGGATCACTTGAGGTCAAGAGTTCGAGACAAGCCTGGGCATATGGTGAAACCTCCTCTCTACTAAAAATACACAAATTAGCTGGGCCTGGTGATGGGTGCCTACAATCCCAGCTACTCAGGAGACTGAGGCAGGAGAATTGCTTGAACCTGGGAGGCGGAGGTTGCAGTGACCCAAGATCTTGCCACTGCACTCCAGGCTGGGTGACAGTGAGACTCCGTCTCAAAAACATTTTTTTTTCTTTAATTTTTTCTTAATACGGTCTCACTCTGTCACTCAGGTTGGAGTACAGTGGTACACAGCTCACTGCCACCTTGAACCCCTGGGCTCAACCAATCCTCTGGCCTCAGCCTCCCGATGCAAGTGGGAGTCCCCAGCTAGGGACTACAGGTGTGCACCACCACACTTCGTTAATTTTTTAAAACAATTTTTTGGGCCGGGCGTGGTGGCTCACGCCTGTAATCCCAGCACTTTGGGAGGCCGAGGCAGGTGGATCACGAGGTCAAGAGATCGAGACCATCCTGGTCAACATGGTGAAACCCCATCTCTACTAAAACTACAAATAATTAGCTGGGCATGGTGGCGCATGCTTGTAATCCCAGCTACTCAGGAGGCTGAGGCAGGAGAATTGCCTGAACCCAGGAGGTGGAGATTGCGGTGAGCCGAGATGGCGCCATTGCACTCCAGCCTGGGTAACAAGAGTGAAACTCTGTCTCAAAAAAAAAAAAAAAAAAAAAAAAAAAATTTGTAGAGATGAGGTCTTGCCATCTTACCCAAGCTGGTCTCTAACTCCTGAGCTCAAGTGATCCTCCCACCTCAGCCTCCCAGAGTGTTGGAATTAGAGGCATGAGCTACCATACCTGGCCTAAAATGTTTTTCAATGTGGATAATTTTAAGATCTTATTTCTTACATAGACATACACACACAGAGACATATGTATTATACATATAACATTATAGATATAACATGTATAATACATATATGTATTAATGTGTTTTATATATTATACATATTACTCTTTTTAAATTTTTAGAATACATGTTACTTTACAGTTAAAAAATAATTTCCACTTATAAAATAATCAATGTATGTAAGGAGCAGTGGGGCTCCTGTTGGTTTTGTAAGAGACTGTAAAGTATTTCAGACTCCCTAATTAAATTATCTTGGCTCCACTGGACATCTGTTCATGAAGATTTGACAAGTATGATTATTTTGTTATAGGCTTATGGAGGAACGAAGGGAAAGAATACATAACTTCTTGAGTGAACTAATGAAAGAGAAACTTGACAATGAAGATATGATTATTGCTAGAGATATTGCAGAAGCTGATGCTGAATGGGAAAAAAGAGAAAGAGAAAAAGATGAAAAAAGCAAAGCAGAATTAAAAGCAATTGCAGAATATAGAGCCATTGTGGTAAACAATTCAATTATGAAAATAAAAACAGAAAGACAGAGTTAGGGTCTTTCTACTGTGGTTTCCATCCCATCTGCCTCTCTAACCAAAAACTAGGCAAGATGTTAAAAACAACGTATGAATTATCTTCCTATGTTTTTGAAATTGGACAATGTTTACTTCCTAACAAAGATGACAATCAGTTACAAATAAGATATTTATAGATGCAAAATAATAATCTTTTCTGTTTCAGAACCATCTGAAATGCAAAGGTTATTTATTTGGTATACTTTGCATTTGTATGTTTTAAAGACAAACCACATAAAATTATCCTATTACATTTCTGTTTTTTAATCTTTCAAAACTTATATCCTACATGACTGATTATCTTAATATTTAATTTGGGTAGTTTATACACATTAGAACAATTAATTTTCTACTTACATGTATTTCCCTTCCTTGAGATCTTTTCTTTTCCTGTGTTTTCTTTTTCAAGCCAATAAAGATTGTCCTTTCTCGCTTGGGTATATTCTGATATTCAGGAAATAGAATAAAAACCAAAGTAAACTGGCCTCATGGGAACTACCCCAGAGGTGTGCAGTTTTCTCCTGCTTTGCTCCTGGCTGACTCTCCTCTGCTTGCAGCTCTCTAACTCTGTGCCTTTTTAGACAGGACTGGTTGCTAAAACAGGTTTTAATTTGTTTCCTTTGCCTGTAAACATCTAGATGAAAAATAAAGAGGAAGAAGAAAGACAAAGAAAAATAGAGGCTAAAGAACAATTGCTGGCTGTCATGAAAGCAGATCGGATTTTCTGGGAACATGAAAAGGAGAAAAAATGCAAAGCTGATAAAAAACACCGAGAAGTTCAAGATGCCCATATTCAGCAAATGGTAATTATTCCTGAATGTTTATACTTACTTTAACGATAAGTATATAATACAGAATTCATGCTAGTTTTCTATATCCCAGGTAGTTTGTCAGGTAAGAAAAAATGGTCATTGTGGTTATGACACAATAAAATATATTTAAAATGTGAGGTTAGTTTCTATCTCCAGTGAAGTTCACAGGCGAGTTTTATCTTTTAAATGAATGTTTATCCGTCTTTAGTGTCTATTAGGCTCTAGTAAATATTAAAGAAAATACAAATGAATGTAGCAGGCCATAATGCTCATCTTCGTTTACTTTTTTCCCACATCTCAGATACTATGATTGGGATCTCATAGGTTTCAGATTTGAAGTGAATGGAGATAGCAGATTTTAAGAGATGTGTAGAGGATCTGGCATCCAATCATTTGTAACTAAAACTTGTTTTCAAACTGGCTGTGCCATCTTCCATTCCTACCAGCAACGTATGCAAGCACAGCTTACTACACATACTCACCAACACTTGATATTGTCATACCTTAACTCTTCTGGTATAGTGGTATCTCATGACTTTATTTTACATTTCTCTAACGGCCAAAGATAATGGATATCTATGCACATCCTTGCTAGCCATTTGTATACCTTCTTTTATGAAGTGTCTATTTAAAAGTGTTGCCAGTTTTTAATTGGGTTGTTTTCTTAATGCTGAGGTTTTTTAAATTGATTTTTAGTGTGGTAAAATATACGTAACATAAAAAACGCCATTTCAAGCACAGTTAAGTGTATAGTTCAGAGGCATTAAGTACATTCACACTGATCATCGCTACTGTACATCTCCAGGATTTATCATCACCCTGTACTAAAACTGTACATGTTAAACTGTAACTTCCATCCCCTCTTTCCTACAGTCTGGGTAACTTCTGTTCTACTTTCTGTCTCAATGAGTTTGATTATTCTAGATACCTCATATAAGTGGAATCAGACAATATTTGTCCTTTTCTGTGTGGCTTATTTTACTTAACATGTCTTCAGCGTTCTTCCATGTTGTAATGTATCTGTAAATCACTTTCATTACTTTTTAAAGCTGAGTAATATTCCATTGTGTATATGTACCATATTTTGTTTATCCCTACATTCATCAATGTATATTTGGGTTGTTTCTATCTTTGGCTTTTGCAAATGTTTTTGTGAACACTGTTATATAAATATTTGTTCAAGTATCCACTTTGAATTCTTTTGGTTATATAGCAAAAGAAAAAAAAGAGTGGAAATTCTGAATCATGTTAATTCTATGTTTAATATTTTGAGATGTCATAATGTTTTCTACAATAGCTGCACTATTTTACATTCCCACCAGCAATGCACAAGGATTTCGCCAAACAACACTTGTTTTTCTTCTTTTTATTTAATAGCCATTGCTATTGGTTTGAAGCAGTGTGTCCTTGTAGCCTAATGATTAGTGATGTGCGGTATCTTTTAATGAACTTTTGTATGTCTTCTTTGGAGAATGCATATTCCAATCCTTGCCCATTTTTGTTTTTTTCTTTATTTGGGATGGAGTTTTGCTGTCACCCAGGCTGGAGTGCTGTGGTGCAATCTTGGCCCATTGCAACCTCCACCTTTAGGGCTCAAGCAATTCTTTTGCCTCAGCCTCCCAAGTACCTGGGATTATAGGTGCCCACCACACCAGGCTAATTTTTGTATATTTAGTAGAGATGGGGTTTCACCATGTCGGCCAGGCCAGTCTTGCACTCCTGACCTCAAATGATCTGCCTGCCTTGGCCTCCCAAAGTGCTAGGGTTACAAGCATGAGCAAATGTGCCCGGCCTCCATTTTTGAATTGGATTTTTTGTTGTTGGGTTTTAGAAGTTTTAAAAATATTCTGTATATCATGAAATATATGATTTGCAAATGTCTTCTCCATCCCATGAGTTACCTTTTCACTCTGTTGATATCTTTGATGTATAAAAGTTTAATTTCTGGCTGGGTGCCAAAATATAGTTTGCTGTTTTAATCAGGATCAAATAAGATCAGTATTTGGAATCCTTCTGATTTACTTGTTGAAGTCTTCAAGAAGTTTTCATGATCAAATACTTGGTTCTTCTTAGATATAATTTTTAAAGAAAAGTCAGAATAAATACTTGATTTTTTCTGCCTTATTTTCCAGTTTTCAGGATAATTAGCTATTATCTTCCAAATGTGCTTGTTACTTTATCTGTTAGCTTTTTTAGGATTTTAAACTTAATTTTTTGGAGACTTTTCTTT